CAACTTGCTAAATGATCTACATCCTTTTGTAAATCAGCAGCATCCTCTTCACAGCCAGCAATACCAAGACCTTAATATCATCAGCAAATGTATGTAACTTGCTAACCATTCCTTCATATATGTCATTAGTGTAAATCAAAAAGAGCAAAGGTCCTATGACTGAGCCCTGAGCTACCCCACTTGTAATATTAATCCAGTTTGACTGAACTCCATTTATATCAGCACTCTGCTTTCTTCCATCCAATTTGTTAAATTATCCCCTACACCTATAGATATATATATTTTCTTACAAGCCTTTCATCTGGCACCTTGTCTAGTGCTTTCTGAAAATCCAGATACACCACATCTACACTTTTACCCTCATCTACATAAACAGTAACTTTTTCAAAGAATATCAAAACATTTTTAAGGCAAGATTTTCCCTTAGTGAAACCACATTGAATATCCAATAAAATTCTAAATTTTCTTAAATGGCTTTGCAAAGCATCTTTTATCAGACTTTCCAAAACTTTTCCCACAACTAGTGTAAGACTAATGGGCCTATAATTACTATAATTACAATTATTATCACATCCCTTGAAAAGAGGAGTGACATTAGCTAACTTCCAATCTTCTGGTACTTATCCATTATTCAAGACTTACAAAAAATAGTAGCAAGTGGCTTGCACATCCAATCCTTAACCTCCTTCAAAACCAATCGGAAATATTACCTGGCTCAGGAGCCTTATCAACTTTTTCTTAACAAGCTCAGAATTAATGCAGACATCTTGTTTGATTTCGTTTCCATCTATCAACTGTTCAGATTGTGATATACTGCTTAAATGTTCATAAATAAAAACTGAAGAAAAAGCAGAATTTAATAACCCGGCCATCTCATAATCATCAGATACAAACCTTCCTTTATCATCCCTCAAGGGTCCTACCCACCCCCATCCTAACATTTTCTTTACCCTTAATGTATTTAAAGAAATCCTCACTATTAATTTTTATTTCTTCAGCCAACCTTTTCTAATAAATCCTTTTGGACATTCTAATTTCCTTTTTGACCAACATTCTTGATCTTCTATGTCTCCCATCATACACGTCAATTTAAATTTCTTAAATTTGTGATTCTCTTCTTTAATTTTATCTCTTGTACTCTTTGTGAGACAACCTGGATTTTTACATGCAGCCACCTTTTTCTTTCTATAAGGAATATGTTTACCTTCAACCGAAAAGAACAATGATCACTTTCATCCAGACATTTCCTAATTTACATCCACTCAATCATTTCTATGTTTGAAGTTAACAATAACTCTAAAACAGCATTGACCAATTGGTGAAGAAAATTATCTTTAACAGTTTCCAAAAACCTTTCTCCCTCATGCTTTGACTCTAGTATTTCCTAAATCTCTATGCCTGAAATTAAAATACACCCGTAATTA